TACTATAAAGAAAAACTCTATTATTGAGGATTCAGGTTTATTGCTTACTGGACTCACTAATTTGTTAGAATCGTGACCATTTTTTTCAACTTCATGTTTTTATACTAAGAAGTATAGTAGTGTTTTAATAGTAAAAATTGTTTTAATATATTAATAATTTTTTTATAAATACCTGATTCTTGTAGACTCAGAAGAGTACTCACAGGACATATAGAGGAGCATTCACAAGAACATACAGAGGAGCAAGAATATATAGAGAAGTGGACACATACAGAAGAATATTCATGGAAATATACAGAAAAGCGAGAATATACAGAGAAGTATTTGTATAAACATACAAAAAAGCATTCATGAGAATTTATAGAGAAGCAAAACATACAGAGAATAGTGAATTGACCCGTTTATTCACGAGTGACTCATCAGGCTGATTTGGGTAGACTGATAGGTATTTTGGGTATTCTCAGCTAATCATTGATGTTTGTTTACATTGGGTTAACATATTCTATTTTACCCAATATAAACAAATATAATATCCTATTTTACCTGATATAAACAAACATTAGTGATTGGCTGAGAATACTCGAAATACCTGTCAGTCTACCCAGATCAGCCTGATGAGTCATCCGTGAGTAAACGGGCCAATTCACTAACAGAGAAGCATTCACAGAAATATACAGAGAAGTATTCGCAGGAATTCACAAGAGAATGTTTAGGGTACTCGAAAGAATATATGATAGAGTATTCGGAAGAATATATAGTAGAGCACTTAAAAAAATATACAGTAGAGTACTCAAAAGAACATATAGTAAAGCACTTTAAACATATAGTAGAGTACTCAGAAGAACATATAGTGAAGCTGTTTAGATTGATTTAAAACATATTGCAGTATTGAAATTGATTATCTTTATTATGTATCAGATTTGGCTAAGCTTTTACAAGCAATTTATTTATATAAGCCAATCAGATAAAATTCTGCTACATAGTATAGAGTGTTCATAAAATTGGTAAATCAAAACAAAACTCTTGAAGAAAAAATAGCTAAAAGGTGAAAATACACAAAAACTTCCTTTTTTGGTTTGTATTACTTATGCAAATAAGTAAAACAGTACATATATATATCAATATATTTGATATTATAATATAATATAATCAGGAAAATTCAAAACAAACTAAACAAATATTTACTGTATTTAAGAACTACTTTTTTTTTTTTTTTCCTGTTTAAAGGCCGGGTACTATGGCCGATTTTTTATTATGAGTCAACGTAATATTTGTTACAT